CTCTCTGATGACCAGTGACGATGAGCATTTTTTCATATGATTGTTGGCCTCATATATGTCTTCTTTCGTAAAGTGTCTCTTCATATCCTTTGCCCACTTTTGAATGGGCTTGTTTGTTTTTTTCCTGTAAATCTGTTTGAGTTCTTTGTAAATTCTGGATATCAGCCCTTTGTCAGATGGGTAAACTGCAAAAATTTTTTCCCATTCTGTTGGTTGCTGATCCACTCTAGTGACTGTTTCTTTTGCCGTGCAGAAGCTGTGGAGTTTCATTAGGTCCCATTTGTCTATTTTGGCTTTTGTTGCCAATGCTTTTGGTGTTTTGTTCATGAAGTCCTTGCCTACTCCTATGTCCTGGATAGTTTTGCCTAGATTTCCTTCTAGGGTTTTTATCATGCCAGGTCTTATGTTTAAGTCTTTAATCCATCTGGAGTTAATTTTAGTGTAAGGTGTCAGGAAGGGTCCGATTTCTTAAAGGGCTCCACCATGAGACCAGTGATCAAATTAAGAAACTGGCAAATGAATCATGCTTCCACTACTGGATCTTCTGTCTGTGTAAGCAGTTATATATATTTTGCGTGTAATTGGCTTAAGGAAAAAATAAGTGCTTAAATCAAATATTTTGAAAGAAAAATTAAAACTATGATGTCTTTTAGTCTATGTAACTTCAATAATCTTTAAGGAATATTAACAGCCTTAAAGATTATTGGTAAAATAAAGACATTTGATCTAAAGCAGGCAGGTCAGATATTAGGCTTGCTAAATGCTTCAAGGTCATAGACTGCTTCTTTGGCTTTTAAAAATTGTTCAAGCTACCTGCTTTACAACTTGGTAAGGCCTGGGGCCATGTGAAGTTAGCCACACCCCTAACTATGCTGGAAAGAGTCAGACCTTAACTCCACCTAGTACATAATTAAAATAACTTACCAGATTTTTCGCCAAAATTAAAAATTGCTAAGAGTTACCATTATCACTGTAATAAAGACTACTGAAAAATAAAAAGCTCTTTACATGCAAGGTGTGTAAGAAAAGTAAAATGTGTTAGTAAAAGATTTTAAGAAGGCATCAGAATGTACATTTTGCCTAGTCTAGAGGGATTGTTTAAGATTGACGGGATTGTTTTAAATTGAATAATATAAAGCTAAAGGTTTGAACAAGTCTGGAAGGTTTGTGAAAAACTTATCTTGTAAAAAGAATTCTATGTGGATATTGGCCAAAGTTCAAAGGATATTATTAAGTTTTCCAGTACATTGAGCATTGGAATAAAATCACAAGAGTTTTTTTTTTTTTTAACTAATATACTCTTTCACAAAAATGATAAAGAGCTATAAAATGTTTATGAGAATCTCACCTTATGGTCAAACTGAATAAAATTGGATAGATTTGTTTCTAAGGTTTTAATAAAAATTGGGATTGACATTAATAGTACACTAATGCAAGGGTGAAATTTGTCTTTCTCTGTTGAACAAGATTTTCATGTAATATTAAAGGATAATAAAAGATTTTGTTTGCCTTTTGAATAAAGTACTGATAAAAGAAGGAAAAGCCAAAAGAAAGATTGTTTGAAAATATGTCTTCCCTATATTAATCAGCAAAAGGTTTTGCCTTTTTAAATCTTTTGAGTTATCATTTTAGCTAAATTAATGCCTTATGATAACCTAGAAATATATTTCATAATATCAAGTGTTTAAACCTTCAACATATTTGATAGGCTTCCCAAATAAAATTTCAGCTTCCAAACTGTCTTTTCTGACCTCTAATTTTATGATGCTATAGAGGGCCTGAAGCATCTAAAAGAAAGGTAAGCAGCATTATTTGACATGTTTAGTTACATGGGAAGCATTGTCAAAAAAAAAAAAAGACAATATTTAACCTTCTTCAGGTTATATTTTAGTGCATGTTATCAACATGTTCCAAAGTCATATGGGATTTCTAAAATTCTAGTATGTCTAGGTATACACTATCGATCATAATTACAATTATTATGTCAAGTTATTGTAGACCACAGAAATAACAAATCTTCTTGTCGATTGTGTTTTTAATTGTAACTGTTTAAAGTTATTTCCACACCTAATTACTTCATGCTGATGCAGTGTTTGGAAACTTCACAAGTATGTGAAGTTTTTCACAAGTACGTAAAATCCTAGAAAATGCTGTCTTTGAGGAGGTTCATGAAAGAATGGAAGGAGTCCTGAAAAGCACTCTTGAATACAGGTTTCTAATAACATTAAGATCATATCATGGGTAAGAATTTTCCATGAATTCCCCGAGAATTGACTGGGTAAGAATTCCTGGAACTTTAATGAAAAAACAGTTATAAAACTGTCAACTCAAGTAGAAAAAAAAGTTAGTTGAATACATAAGAAATACTTTGCTAGATTTGCATGCTAGATCAGACAGTACTGAAATTGTTTATATATACATAATTTGAATAAACTCCAAGGTCTGTGTCAAATTACCCATTCCAATCCTTCAGTTATCAGTGCTATGACATAATTCGGAGAAATAAACTAGTATTTAAGAGGATATAAATCTAATTTTAATTAAGCATGGACTCTTGAAAAACCAGAATGTCTACCCTGTCCTTTCTGATGCTTAAAGATTTTGTTATTAAAAGTCCTGCATTCCATAACTCATCATGGAAAAGATAAAATGAACTAAGTTAAATATATTGGTGTGGTGTCTTATAAATTGCTAAAATAGTTTATAACTCATGTTTGGTTAGTAAAACTTGTATTCCTAGGCCAACAATCAAAACTTCAGGCCCATTTAAAAATTTATAAAGGAATTTCATTCAATTGTCATTTTCATTGCCTGTTTTCTGGTTGTATAAAAGCTTTCCCATGCAAGAGGACTAATGTTATAACAGTAGATGATTAGGCTACAGTGTATTTTCACCATGGCAAGAAAGCTTTTTATGGTTTACTGACTGGGACAATCAACCTCTTCATAATTTAGAACCCAAAATTAGATCTGCTAAGAACATCAGAGAAAGACTGTCCCTGCTATCTACACTACAGCAAAACTCTTGGACCTTGAACTTTGGGTTCACAATCTCACAACCAAGAAGGATCTCTCCACAATTTTGGAACTGAACACCCATTAGAAATCTTAAGGTAAAACTAACCAGGGATGTTTCTCCCCAGAAGAAGATGGCATCCTTGATGTGAACAGCTTTTCCCAAGATGATGAATCAAGAGTTCTCTACCATAATGAGATGCTTATCTTAGAATATTTTTCCTTATTTATGACTCTACGAACAGTGGAAATGAAAAGGGTATCTGTTATGTGCATTTACTGTTATGTGTGAATGATTTGGCAGCCAGCCTTATGCATGAATAAACTTATACTTTAATAGATAAAAAATTAAGACCCAATGTAAGTGAGAAACTTTAATGGTACATATGTTGCCTCATAATCAGTCAAAAACAGAATATTGATTCACTCCTTTTAACCCACATCATAGGTTAAAGAGCACATTGCCAGGAGGCCTTCACCCTACTACAAGGACCTCGTTTTATGTCCTTTTACCATGGTTTGGAATAAAAGGGGCAATAATTAGAAATGTATCCCTCATGATAAGCTCTATAGCAGATTCTACTCTAAAGGCTATGTTTACACACAGACTAAATTATCTTGTAAAAGTTATGTTAAATGATAAAACTGGCTGAACAGAGAGGTATTTGTACAGCTGCTGGCACTTGTGGCCTATGGAGAAAACATCAGGTATTATAGATATTCAGTTTCAGGGAATTAACGAAGAGACTTCTTAGTGAAGTGAATAGACTTTCTGTCTAGCCCATTTCTTGATGTATTTGATTTTAGTTTGCTTGTTTTATGGGGACCCTAGGTAAAAAGCATACTCCAAACTCTTGATATTATCCTCCTGATAGGCATAATAATAGTCTTCCTGGTGCACTATATTCTCTCAAAGGGTTTAAATGTTTGCATATAGCCATCTCTGGAATTTCAAATGTTCTGTCTTAAACAGGAATAACAAGAGCTGAAAGAAATATATGACCATGAAGCCACTGTAATCTATGAATGACATGCTTAGATCAGAAACCCAAAGTGATGGTAACTGGGAGTGGTTTTAAGACCCCAAGTTTTGGTCACACTCTCACCTAAGTGAGAACCTAACCAAAATTGGGGATTTTTTTTAAACAAAAGTATAGGAGGCAATTGTTTTGGACTGAGCTCATTCACTATGCCCCAACCTACAATACCAAACCAAAATGGAGTCCCTGACGTGGCCAATCAAACTAAGACGTTAAGGAAACATACAGATCCTAGAACAGATCAGGGTTAGTTTTTCTCCTATAAACAGGATGTTGCAGCATAAGAAGTTACCCTCTACTCAGTCCTTGTTCCTACCTTTGCAAAACTCACTATATACAAAAATTAACTCACAATGGCTTAAAAGATTAAATATAAGACCTCGTTGTATAAAAGTCCTAGAAGAAAACCTAGCAAATGCTCTTCTAAACATTTGCCTAGTCAAGTAATTTATGATGAAGTCCTCAAAAGCAAATGCAACAAAAACAAAATTGGTAAATAGGACCTAATTTAACTCAAGCACTTCTGTACAGTAACAGAAACTCTCAACAGAGCAAACAGACAACCTAAAGAATGGGGCAAAATATTTGTAAACCAAGTATCTGACAAAGGACTAATATCCAGAATCTTTAAAGAACTTAAGCAAATAAATCATTAAAAAATAAAAATAAACCATTAAAAAGTGTGCATATCAACAGACACTTCTTAAAAGACCTATAAACAGCTAACAAACATCACTAATATTCAGAGAGATGCAAATCAAAACCACGATTAAATACCATCTCATACAAGTCAGATTGGCTATAAAAAATTTAAAAAATAACAGATGTTGAAGAGGTTGCAGAGAAAAGGGAACACCTATACATTTTTGGTAGGAATTTAAATGTGTTCGGCCACTGTGGAAAGGAGTTTGAAGATTTCTCAAAGAACAAAAAACAGAACTACCATTTCACCTTGCAATCTCATTACTGGGAATTTATTACCCAAAAGGAAATAAATCATTCTCCCATAGAGACACCTGCATTTTTATGTTTAGCACAGCACTATTAACAATAGTAAAACACGTGGAATCAACCCAGGTGTACATCAACATTGGATTGGAGAAAGAGAATGTATATATACATCATGGAATCTACATAGCCATACAAAATAACAAAATCATGTCCTTCTCAGCAACATGAATGCAGCTGGACCATTATCTTAAGTAAATTAATGCATAAACACCAAATACCACATGTTCTTACTTACAGGTGGGAGCTAAACATTGAATACACATGGACACAAGATGGGAACAACAAACACTGGGGATCCCAAATTGAAGGAGGGACACAGGGAGGAAAGGGTTAGAAAAGTACCTATTGGGTACTATGTTCACTACTTGGGTGACAGGATCATTAGTAAGCCAAACCTTAGCATCATGCAATATACCCACACAGCAATCTTGCACATGTACTTCCTGGATCTAAAATAAAATAAAGAAAAAGAATTAAGCCACAAAAAAAATACATTTTAAAAACAACATAATTCAATTAATTATATTTCTGATTACCTAAACACTTGAGTGCCCCTCTTATAAAATATTTACTATGTAAAGAACATAAAAAAATTGAACTACATTTTAGCCTACCCCTGAAATAATATTTTATGCACAAATGAGTATTTTATCATTATTTTTAAAATTTATGCTTGAAACTTTCACACTCCATGATCTTTCAAAGATTTTTTATAAAGGACATTTTTTCATGACCAATTTAGTGTATAAGGCAACTGGCAATCTTTCCCTGTTGATCATCGTTTTTCTCATATTCACATTTTTATTCCACATAATCTCCTCCCCCTACCAACTCTTCCACTAAAGCTAGCACATCACTTTTGTACCTATTTCTACCATATTAAAAGTGCATTTCAAAAGCAAGTACATATGGTATTTAATCGTAAAGTTAGTAATAAGTTCCAAAATATAGCACTACATTTCTTGTGGCATAATTAAGCGTAGGGATACATTATCACCAGATGTATATTCGTTGCCACATTACACTAGGCAAACATTTCCTAAAATTGAGAAAGAAGCAAATACTTGATACACTGACATTTGCAGTCTCACATGTCAACTGTTACTCACATTTTACCCAGCAAGTTGTAATCTGATATCCTTCATGTTTCACTTTGGAAATTGCCACACCCCTCTTAAGACTGTGGCACTTTCTAAAGAAATATAAAATGCACTCCCCTTTATATCTTTGTTTGATAAATGTGAAAAAGCTATGTTCATGTCTTTTCATTTATTTTATGGCCAACTTTTTATAACATTCAGAAGAAAAGCATATGCCATATTTTCTTATTCTCATAGCAAGTCCTAACTTTCAAAATTATTTATAAAACCTTCAATTGTACACTATTCTTAGAGTACATTATTGCATTAAGTCATATTACATATTACAAGTCCCTGAGACAGGATTTACATCTGGAAACTTTTTTAAAAAATTAAATATTATTTATGCAGGGTTTTATATTACTTCTCCACAAATTCAGTAGCTTCTTCATGTCAGTTAAAGATAACTCTCTGGCTTTTATGTCCACATTTTTCTATAATGCTGTTCACTAGTTCAATGTGGCCACTTTTATAACTTTCCTGGTTTTATATAAATAATTTTATTTTTTCTACCAATGCCAATTTTTAAAATTATATATATATATATATATATATATATATATATATATGGATACACAATTGTATACATGTATGGGGTATATGTTATATTTTGATACAGGCATACAATGTGTAATAATCAAGTCTGGGCAATTGGGATATCTATCATTTCAAATATTTACTCTTTATTTGTGTTGGTAACATTCCAAACGTACTTTTCTAGCTGTTTTGAAATACTCAAGAAATTACTGTAGTCACCCTATTGTGCTATTGAACACTAGATCTTAGTTCTTCTAATTGTATTTTTGTACCCATTAAAGCAATCTCTCTATATCCTGTTCTCCCCACCCACTACCCTTCTGAGACTCTAGTAAACATGATTTCTACTCTCCACCTCCACTCCATGAGATCAATTATTTTGGTTTTCACATATGAGTGAGAACATGAGACATCTGTGTTTCTGTGTTTGGTTTATTTCACTTAACGTTAATGCCTCCAGGTTTATCCCTGTTGTTGCCAATGATTTCATTTTCTTTTGGTTGATATTTCATTGTTTATGGCGTATTTTCCTTCATCTTTTTATGGGCATTTAGGTTGATTCCCTATCTCGGCAATTATAAATAGTGATGCGATAAACATGGAATGCAGATTATCCAGATGGAGTGTAGATACATCTTTGATATACTGATTTCCTCTCTTTATGATATATACTTAGCAGTGGGGTCACTAGATCGAGTAGTAGTTCTATTTTTGATCTTTTGAAGAATCTCCATACTGATTTTTATAGTGGTTATGCAATTCATATTCCTACCAACAATATAGAGTTATTCCCCTTTCTTAGCACATTCTCCAGCATTTGTTACTTTCTAATATTTATGAGTTAAACATACTACTTGCATACACTTAATGGACTTACCAAAAGAAGTTATTCCTGCTATTATCTCAGCTTTTTGAAGATCATGCCTCTAGCCTCAAGATTGCTGTCAAGAAAGGTAACACAAAAGCTGTGTTTTGATGATGAAGTGACATTAAAATCTATCATATCTGACTTACATAATTCACAAGTTTAGTGATTTGTCTTATTTCTATAGTATCTACAAACAAGCAGGGCCCAGTATTGTCTCTGCAGCAGTAACTGTTAGAGGTTACAAAGGAATTATTTACTCATGATAACCTAAATCACTTTGGTCTTGCCTTCCTCTCTACCACCCATACATTTTCCGAGATTCACCCAATCATCCATATCTGCCTGGCTGATTGGGTGGCAGGCTGGCACCACACGTTTCCTCTGCTAATTATTCCTTATTACTCTTGATTAGTACCTTTTTTTGCTTTCACTCTATCATTTTGTTTGTTTGTTTTGAGACAGGGTCTTGCTCTGTCACCCAGGCTGGAGTGCAGGGGCGTTGATCATGGCTCACTGCCGCCTGGATCTCCACAGGCTCAAGCTCTCCTTCCATCTCAGCCTCGCAAGCAGCTGGAACTACAGACACACACCACCATGCCTGGTAAACTTTTGTATTTTGTAGAGATAAGGGGAGTTCCAGTGTTGTCCAGGCTGGTCCTGAACTCTTGAGTTCAAGCAATCCACCTACCATGCCCCTTAAAGTGCTGAGATCACAGGCATGAGCACCGCATCTGGCCTCCATTTATCTTCATCCCAGAACCATGCCAAGCTCATAGTGGCAGTGATCAGGTTGTAAAAAGAAATCATAACTAGTGTTCATGTTCAGTCTATGACAATACTTTTGTTTCTGGCTACCTTTACTCATTTTATCCAACAACTTATGTGAGTCAGTTTTTAACATGCTTAAAGTAAGCCACCAGGATTCTGCTCAAATTGGACCTCTAACAAATGTATGCCCAGAACTAAAGCTTTCAGATCCCAGTTTTCAGAGTTCTTGAAAATGCAATGAAAGAACAAAACTCTAACATTGTTTGACCAGCAGTTCTTTAAGAAATCTGTTTTGGGCTAGATAATAATCTGGACCTACAGGTTAGTAATAATACTACTGGCTCTCCTTTAGCATTTAGTCTGGAGAGTTGCAAAGCCTAGAAAATCAGAAATGCTGTTCCCCTGACTCCCAGAGAGAAGTCTAGTATTTAATGGGTGGGATTTCAAGAACACTTGATGTGGTGGAGGTATCACTTGTTGAGACACAAGCGTGGTCACTGACTGGGTATTGAATTGTTGAATTGTCCCTGTAGTACAGTGCATGGGGCTGTGATATGCATGCCTCAGCTGTGACACACTCCTGGCTGATGTTCACACGTGTCCCAGCTGTCAGCGACAAGCATTACAGCAGAGATTCCGATACTTATCTTGGCCTATAACGCAAGTCTACTCAGCAGCAATGAGAGTACAGAGATTGTCCCCTCATGGAGCGATCAACAAATAGCTATTCAAGAAACTACCTCTAGGGGACAGAAGTGGATCTGTTAGAGGGGCTTTGCTTCTTTATTTTGAGCTCCCTAGATTGTCAAGGGATTAGCTGGCAGATGCTAATTTAGGATCTTCTCATTACTCTTAATAGTATTACATTTTGATGTTTCTAAAGTTATGCCATTATATATTTGAGGTTTAAATTATAATAAAATTGTACAATTCAAATGTTCTGTTTAATGAGTTTTGACAATTGTAGACACTCATAATCACAACTAAAATGAGGTCTAAAACATTTCTATCATTCTAGAAAATTTTCTTGTGCTCCTTTTCTAGTCAATTTCCAGGACACAAGAGGTGATTACTTTCTAAATTTTATCACTATGCAGCCAGCAACACATCAGTACACGTTTTTAAATATATCAGACAATAAACATTGCAAGCTTTGTGGGCTCCATATTTCTGTCTCATATATTCTTCTTTGTTTCTTTTTATAATGCTTTAACAATATTTTTTAAATGCTCTATTCAGTGGTATACATATTCAAAATTAGGGAGCAGAATTGATTTGACCCTGTGCTATAGTTTGCTGGCTTCTACTACAGATTAGATTGAGTGTCTTAAAACTTCATTTAAATGGGATATTACAATATGAACTCTTTTGTTTCCTCATTTCTTAGCTCCATCTATTGTATTTTGGTTCATCTACATGGTTGGACACATTAAGAGGTTATTTCTTTTTATTGCTTAGAAGTATACCATTAAATATTTGTGCTATACTTTTAAATCCATTTCTCCAGTTAATAGACACTTAAGTTGTTCAGTTTGGAAATACCTGTGGAATTGCCAGGACATGGGATGTGTGCATGTATAAACTATGAAAAACTGTCATTCTGTTCTCCAAAATGATTGTATTATTTTGTATTCTACTAACAATGCATATTTTTTTCCCTAGGCTAATGCCTTCAGGTTATGGACTCATTTCAACACCTTTAAATCTGGTGCCCTGTTAATAATCAATTAAATCACCGGTTGCATCTTGAATAGAATAAACGAGTAGCAGCAGAAGGTTCTGGAAGCATCATGATCATGCAAAGACTCACTCTAACAAGAACTTATGATATTATGTATACACTCTCAGATTTTCTTCAGCAACATTGATACTAATTTAGTGAAGACCCTTGGCACCGGAGACCCTTGCTAGGTGTATAAGGGTATGAGCGGTCACTGAAGCACAATATCTGAGATGCTGTACATAGGACAGAAAAAGAGGCAAAAAAATTGAATATGTTCGTGAAAATTATTTTCAGAGCTTACAGCATATGGCATATGCTACAGCAACCACTTTAGCAGAGATTCACTAGAAGAACTGGCCTAGTATCCAGGGAAGAAGCTACCACTGACCTCCTATTCTACAGCTCAATCTTGTTTGGTTGGATCTTGGTATCCTACATCCCATATCTTCCTCCATGAAGAAAAAAAATAATTCTCTATATTTACTTACACTTTCTTTGCCATTGTATTCCATATAGTGCTACCATACCTCCCATTCAAAAGTCCACCCATTAAAACCCTCTAGAGCTCTGGTACTCAAGATGTGGTTCATGAAGCACCAGCATTACTTTTGAGTGTCTGGATTTGTCCCAGACCAACTGAAACATTATTTCAGTTTCAGTTAGATACCCAATATGATTCACATGCACATTAAAGTTTAAAAAGCACATATGGAAAATAATCACATATTTGGGCAAATGATCCCACAGCTCAATGTTTCAAACATGGCAGGCCTCTAATCAGAACTTGTATATTCTTAGGGTGTTTATATGTACATGGGGAAAGAGGTGCTGTTCACTTTTCTCTATTCTTCCCACTTAAACAAAGTCATTCTGAAATCTAATAAGCAAGCAAGGCCTGCACTAGGTCTATGCCATGTTAAAGCTGAACTGGGTTCAAAGATTATTAAAAATAATATCTTCGTTATTACTTAACGTTTTTTCACTTTAATTTACTCCTACATCAATAGAATTTAAAAAAAAATATTATGGGTTCACAAGAAGAGGATACAAGTAAATAGGTAAACCTGAAACACCCATGCCTCCATAATTTCTTATACATATAATGCAGCTGGCATGGAGAAAGAAACCCCAGGTAAAGGGGGCTAGAAAATGGTTTTATCGTCTTTATTCTGTTAGGATAGAAAAGTTACCTTTCAGAAAGACATCTCCAAGGGCTTCAGGTCATGCTATCACTTACACCAAATGCACTATTTCAGTCCATTTAAAACATCACCAATTTTACCTCTTATAAATTGTAAAATTGGCAATGAAATTTTGCAGCAGGTTATGTCCCCAGATTCCGTAAATCCCACATCTGTTTATTATAAGCAATTGTATACAGACATCTCATGGTGCATCTTGCTATCAGCATTCAACTGTTAAGAATTCTGCATTTCTGTGGTAATTGTTATCTAGATTAGTATGTTCATAAATGAAGATAGATCTTCCCTGTTTTTCTTCTCCGTCTCTCCCCAACATCCTTGGGAAAGACAAAACTGGCTGCTAATTAACTATTAACATATTTTTAAATAGCTAATTAAATTTTTCTTTTTCTTTCTTTTTTTTTTTTTTTTTTTAGATGAAGTCTCTTGCTCTGTCGCTCAGTCTCGAGTGCAGTGGCATGATCTCAGCTCACTGCAACCTCTGCCTCTCAGTTCAAGCATTCCTCCTGCCTCAGTCTCCTGAGTAGCTGGGATTACAGGCATGTGCCACCATGTCTGGCTTTTTTTTTTTTTTTTTTTTTTTTTTTTAGTAGAGACAGGGTTTCACCATTTTGGACAGGCTGGTCTCAAACTCCTGACCTTGCGATCTGCCCACCTTGGTCTCCTAAAGTGCTGGGATTAGAGATGTGAGCCACTTTCTTTCTACTACTCTGCTGCTCCCTCAGGCAGGCATGCAATAGGCCTTGCCAGAGCCTGCCATCTACTAAAGCCTAATACTAATCATACCTGTTAACATTTTATGGGTAGGGAAAGCTATATGTTATTTTCTCTTTTACAGAACTACAATAAACTTGTTTTGTCCTAATTTTTTTCATTGTGCTTTGTTCAATACCCTTCGTATAAAATAATATAGTATCAAAAAGATTTTCTGAGAATGTAAGGGTTGCTTGCACCCGTGGAATATCAAAGCTAATAAATACATAAGTAGGCGCTTTTCTGTTTAATTGCCCTATTACGATCAACTGCACTAAGCTTTCTCAGACATCTGAATGTTACAGTGCCTGACAGTGAGTTCTTAAACACTTGTTTTATAGTGGAATCTAACACCCACTGGGACTTTTCAGCTCAGCCAATAATTGCATCACTACCCGTTGTTGCCCTTTTAAATCATGTCACCATGGAACTGAGTTTAAGAATACCAAGCAACACAAATCGAGAACATTCTCAGAAAGTACTAATCACTTGCTCTTATGACTTTAGAATGTACACCATCTATATATCAGTAAAAAATAATGAAGATTTTCTTAGGTGTAATTTTTTAAGGAAAATTTAAAAGAGAAAAAAAGAGAAAATGAACCTATTTCCTCAGTTTTTTTTTTT